ATGGCCAGTTTCTATAAGAATGTACAGAATAAAAATGCATGCATGGCCAGGTGTGGTGGTGCATACCTGTGATACCAGCGGCTCAGGAGGCTGAGGCAGGAGGATTGCAAGTTCAAAGCCAGCCTCAGCAACTTAGCAAGCCCTAAGACAGTGAGACTCTGTTTCTAAATAAAATATAAAAAGGGCTGGGGATGTGGCTAAGTGATTAAGTACCCCTGGGTTCAACCCCAGTATCCCCAAAAAATTAAAAAAGAAAACCATCTTTCATTAATGCTTAATTCCAAAACAACTCTGACGGCCCTTTTCCTAATGCAAAGAATGTCAGGTAGATGGCAGGATGTAGAGAACAGTCCCCCGTCCCCTGCCCCTGCACATCCTCCAGGCACACAGGGTACACAAAGCCCCTTGCTCTCCTGGCCAGGAATTCCCCCAACCCCAGGGCTCTTTGTGCTGCCTGGCTGTACAGGCCTATTCTAGAACCTTCTCCTGGACTTGCATTAGAGGGGCAGCTCTGAGAAGGGCATTTGGGCCTGCAAGGGGATTCTGGATGGGCTGGAAGGGCACTGGTGAGTTGAGGAGCTCTCCCCTGGCGGAGGAGCTCAGAATTCCATCATCATCTCTCAGATCTCACCTCTGGGCCATGGTCCTGCTTCCGTCCATCTGCCTCTCATGCAGAGATCTGACGGATGAGTAGAAACTCACCTGCCCTCGTGCAGAGATCTAACGGAGCGCATGGAAACCACTAGGCCCTGTGCTGAGTGGGCGCAGCCAAAGCATTGGCCTAGAAGTCTAGAGTGGGCCCACGTGCACAGGCTCACTCAGCTCACACCGCAGTCCGAGGTCCTTCCACCCAGGCAAGCTCACTCCCTAGTCTGCTCTGCCCGCCTGCGACATTCACACGGAGACCTTGTGACACCCACAGCCAGTGCGCCACTTCTGTTATCTTCCTGGAGACACGAGATCAACTTCACTTCCTTACTCCATTTATGCTTCTCCAGAACCCAAAGAGACGACGGGGGACACTACAGTCTGCACGGCACAGATGGAGAAAGCAAGGGCCCCCCTTCTCTGTGCAGCCACTGAGGGCTTGACTGTGGCACCCAAGGCTGGGCCTGCTGCAGGCTAGGCTGAGCCCGTCAGCCAACGGCATCAGGCTTGTATTCCTCTGCCCGCCTCCTCACCTTGCTCTCCCAAGAACTGACCTCACTCTTAAACCTTGCTGTCCCAATCCTTTGTGATGTGACAGCCGGGAGGAACACCCAGAATTCATGCATGTAAACTGCCCAATAAATAGCTACAGTAGCCTTCCTCTTATCTGAGGTTTAACTTTTCACAGTTTCCACTATCTGTGGTCAAGGGAGGTTAAAAAATATTAAATGGAAAATTCCAGAAACAATTCATGAGTTTTAAAGTGTGTGCCAAATTGGAGTAGTTTTTGCCATTATATTCTGTCCCCAACAGGATGTGAACCATCACTTTGTCCAGTGTATCCGTGCTATATATGCTAACCCTCTCCTTAGTCACTTAGTGGCCATCTGTCAGACGGACTTTCATGGTACCACAGTGTCTGTGTTCACGTAAACCTTATCGAGTAGCCCCATGCTACATCACAATGGCGACATCCTTCGCCTCACTTCATCCCATCCAGTAGGCTCTGTATCATTGACATCATCACCAAAAGGGTGAACGAGTACAGCATGGTCAGATATTTTCAGGGACTAGATTTGCATAACTTTTACTATAATATATTGTCATAGTAGTTCTGTTGTATTATTAATTATTGTTGTTAATATGTTACTATCTCCGTGGTTAAGTGCCCCGGGTTCAATCCCCATTATCTAAATAAATAAATAAATAAATAAATAAAATACAATTTTCATTAATTTTTAATCTCCAAGCCACTCCGATTTATAGCACTCTTCCAAAATGGCACACATTTTAAAACATATGAATTGTTTCTGGAATGTTCCATATGCTATTTTTGGACTCCAGTTGACCACAGATACGGTGCCTGGTTTATTAAGTTAAGCTTTATCGTAGATACGAATGTACAGAGAAAGACCTAGTGATTCTAGGGTCTGGTACTGTCTGAGGTTTCAGGCACCCCTGGGAGTGAAGGGGGAACTAGTGTATTTGAATTACGATCATGGTTATTTTTCTGAGGTGAAAGTGGGAGAGAGTTCTTTTCATGGCACACAAGGAACTCAACAACAGGGAACTTGGTGTGGAGGCTTCCTTTTGACGGGTTTTGCCCTGGTGGTGAGGCAACACCTCAGCTCTGCATGGGCCCCAGAGATCCAGTTCTGCTGGTATGTCCTGATTTTGCTTTCTTTGAGTGTTGCCTGGGGAAATATTTTATTGCTAAGCAGGTTTGGAAAAGGGAGGCTTTCACCTTTGGAAAAGAAGGTGTTATAAATGGCCAGGGCCCACACTGCAGAGGGCTTGTGCCTCGGTCCCTTAGGGCGAGATGGCAGTGAGCCTCCGGCGGGGGCAGGTTATTTCGCCATTTCCAGAGCGTCTCCCATGCACACTGACTGTGGGAATATTAAAAAGGTGTGCCTTTGACAGGTTTCATGGTTGATTTAAGTTAGGTCAGTGGTTCTCAAAACAGGGTTACTGACCGGGAGCACCAGCATCACCTGGAAACTGTTATAAATGTACAGTCCTGCTGGGTGTGGTCGGGATGCCTGGAGGACACCTGTCATCCCAGCAGCTTGGGAGGCTGAGGCAGGAGGATCGGGAGTTCAAAGCCAGCCTCAGCAACTTAGTGAGGCCCTCAGCAACTTAGAGAGGCCCTGTCTCTAAGTAAAATATAAAAATAAGGTTGTAGATGTGGCTCAGTGGTTGAGTGTCCCTGAGTTCAGTCCCTGGTACCAATCAATCAGTCAATCAATCAATCCACACAAAAACCAACAAAACAAACCGAAACCAAACCCAAACCCCACACAAACTCTGTTGAGGCTCACACACACTCCAGCCTGAGAACCACTGCCCGAGGGGACTGTGGGTTCCTTTCCTGGGTGCTTGCTCCCGTCTCCAGCACTGCAGAGCTCCCTGTGACTCTTCAGGAAGGAGATCCCACGTGCATCCTTCCAGATGAGGCCGGGAGACCGGTCGTCACTGAGCACCCTTAGGGGACCCTGCTCTGTGGTCTAGACTGAAGGTCAGCCACAGAGCAGCACTTGTCCAGGCTGCCAGAAGCCGGGGGGTGTCCCAGATCCGGGTATTCATAAGGAGAGCTCCACAGGCCCTGGAGATGACTTTTGAGCTCAGGCTCTCTAAACTGTCATAGAACACACCAAGATTGAAAAAAAAAAACAAAAATGGTGACAGGCTATTGTCAAACCAGCTTCCTCCAGCGCAGGCAGAGCCCTCCCTGCAGGCGTGAGGAAGAGCCTTTGCTCTTCATTCTCTCCATAAGGTGGCGCTCCAGGCTTTCATTATTTTGTTTCCCCTGAAACTGCAGTATCCTTGCCAGGGGCTAGCCCGCCATCGCCACCCACATTATGCAGGTTACTGAGATGGTTGCTTCCCCACACCTACAACCATGATTTGGACAATTTTTTTTTTTTTTGATACTGGGGAGTGAATCCAGGGGTGCTCAACCACTGAGCCAAATCCCCAGTCTTTTTTTATATTTTATTCAGAGACAGGGTCTCAGTGATTTGCTTAGGGCCTCGCTAAGTTGCTGAGGCTGATTTTAAACTGTGGATCCTCCTGCCTCAGCCTCCCCAGCCGCTGAGATTACAAGTGTGCACCACCACCCCGGGCTGGACAGTCAATTTTTATTGTTGTTGTTGTTCTGGGTCACTGAAACAATGTATAGTTTAAAAACACAATAAATATAGTTTTATTGTACACAATAAAACTATACTAAACTTTGTTTTTCAATAATAATGATAATAATAATAAAACCCATAATGCACAGTTACTGGAGGAGAGAGGAAAGGCAAGAATGCTGTAATCTCAGGCACATTCTTAATCCCAGGTGCTGTTTCCATTCCTTTCAGTGCTATGAAAATATTTAACAATAAAATTGGGAGCAATCGATATGGCTATTTAGTTAGTTCTAATGGAGGTCAGTGATTGATTGGCTCAGGCTGAGAAAACAAGGAGTGAGGTAGATTTTTTTTTTCTTATTCTTCACAAATGTAACCCTGGCACTTAGAAAAAGGGATCAGGAAACAGATTTCCTCCAGAAAACAAAACTGGGTGTCTCCCTTCCCAGAGTTAGGGCACTGAGCTGCTTCCGTATATTCTGATTTTGACTAGGCAGAATCATTCTTGATAAGATTGCCACATTGAGTGAATAACGTCCGCATGGCCCTTGGACCACACCTGGAGCACAAGATTTAAAAGCACTAACAAACTAGAGCAAATAAATAAACGAATTAATTTAAAAAATAATAAAATAAAAGCACAAAAACATTATTATTGTACAACCTGCCTATGTATCCCTAATTATCCAGAGATGTCACTTGATAAGTTCTCCCTTTCTTCCAGACCCATTTGAATGTTTGAATGGCAGTTGTCTCTAAAGATTTAAAAAGGGGGAAACGGGTGGGAGGGAGGCATGGTGGCACACACCTGTCATCCCAGCAGCTTGGGAGGCTGAGGCAGGAGGATCTCGAGTTCAATGCCAGCCTCAGCAACTTAGCGAGGCCCTAAACAACTCAGTGAGACCCTGTTTCAAAGTAAAATATTAAAAAATGGCTGGGGTTGTGGCCACAATGACTTGTTGCAAGGGCATGTTAGAGGCTTCTCCCTGCTTTTAGCCTCCAGGCGAGGCGGCCTCAACCACTGGGATGGTTCACACAGTCAGGGCTTGAGAAAAACCCCGTAGCCCCATGAGGCTGCCACCCTGGACTTCAGTCCTACACTTTCTTCCCGAAACTTTGCAAAGAAATAGCAGAGCACACTCGCCCTTGGCACCACCACCGTGGCTCCAAAACCTAAGAAAGGCTGAAAGCCAGCCCGGCCCGTGCCACCCGCAGCCTTACCGGGGACTTCTTGATGTCGGAGACGGCGTAGTTGCCCTGCGAGGTCCACCTGGCCGAATCCGTCAGAGACAGGCCCGTCCCGTGGAGGTTGATGCTAAACCGACCCTGCAACACAAAAAGCCAACACAAAAAGCCTTTTTAGCCCACGTGATGTCCCAAGCCACCGCAAGGGGACACCAGGAGAGGTGCCTGGGGAGGGAGGAGGACGTTAATGAGCTCTGATGGCCCCTGATTGTGGAGGGTATTTCGTTTGGGGCAGGGCCAGGCACTTGGCAAGTATCGCCTCATTTTCCTCGCGAGAGCTCTGAGAAGGGGTTTCTTTACAGATGGGGAAACTGAGGCCCGGCGGTGCGGTGTCCCCGCTGGAGCAGGAGGAGGGAGGCTCATCCCGGCCTCACTTTTACATCCTCCTCCTCCTCCTCCTCGGCTCGGCCTCCCTAGCACGGCCATTCTGGTGTTGCTCACAATTATCAGATTCCTCTGGGAACAAAATGCCACCGTGTAATTTTTCTAACAAGATCTCGCTGCCAAAGCGTCCTGGGCTTTGAGCTCCCCGGGACGCTGGGCACAGAGTGGCCTCGGCACAGCGGGGCGAGACTTCAAAGAGGAGGCGCTTCCCCGCTGCGGCCAGCAGAGGGCGCGCGTGGCCCGCGCAAGACCGCAGGGCCCGACGGGCTGCTCCTTCCAGGCCAGGGACACTGTGCGCAAAGGTTTCCCGGGTGCTTTGCAAAGCATTTATTCCTAAGGCGTGGAGCAGCAGAGCGATCCTCTGGCTGCTCCCTCCCTCTGTTTCTCTCTCTTAAAAATGACCCTGCAAAGGCTTCTGGAACCGGCTGCTTCTTGGAGGCTTCCTCCCTGGTGAGCAATTTCAGGGCTGGACATATTCTCATGTGCAAGCTCTCTGATTTGGGCGCCTCAGTACTTTCATCAAGACACTCCTTACAGAGCAAAGACAGAGTGGGAGCGGGTGTTCACGACCAGACAGACCCCAGTATGAGGTGATCTCTTTTACCAGCAATTAGATCCTGGACAGTATTTTTAGCATCTCAGAATCTCAGTTTGTCCATCTGTAAAATGGAAGGTAATAAAAGTAACTAACCCCTCTGTAGTGAGGGAGAAATGAAATCATCCCCAGGTAGGGAGCAGAGATGCAAAAACCCTGATATCTGTCCTGCATTCTCTACTTGTGTCGTGAGTTAGTTTACTTTCCCCAGTATAACAGTAAGTGTATTGAAGGCAGGGCCTTGGTATTGCTTTACGCATATTAGTTATGTTTATAACATGACTAGTCACTTGATGATGATGATTATTAATATTTGGACTATGAGGGTGTTCTACCACTAAGCTACATCCCCAACTCTTTTTATGTTTTTTAATATTTAATTCTGAGACAGGGTCTCACTGAGTTGCTGAGGCTGGTTTTGAACTAGCGATCCTCCTACCTCAGCCTCCAAAGCTGCTGGGATTATAAGCGTGCCCCATTACGCCCGGCCTTGATGGACTCTTAATAAATATTCCATTCTAGCTGATCAATGAGATGTGCAGGACCAGGACTCTCCTCTCCCTGCCTGTTCCATAAACAAGGGCTGATGGACCCCTTTGGAGCCTTAGATTCCACAAACATAGGATGAGGACCAACAAGACTCCTGTCCCTGGAGGAGACCAGAGGGCTTGGTCTGGTCTCACCCACAGCAGTTCTCAACCATGGGCAAGATTCTTGCTGCCAGAGGAAACCTTTGTCCAGAGACATGTTTAATCATCTCACCTCCTGGCAATGAGAAGAGCCCGAGGATGCGTCTCAGCCCACCACAGAGAGTCCGCCAGCCCCCAGGGTCAAGAACACTGCGCATGGGAAGCCTGGGGAGGGCTGGATCTCTGGGGAGCGGCTGGATCTCTCTAGGATGCCGACTCCTGTATTCTCTTCAGTGTGGTCTCTGGCCAACGGCTCAGCCCTCCTGAACCCAGGTGTAAAATCGCCTAGTGAGACCTAACCTGTGACTAGGAGGCAGAAGGCTTGTAATCTGTCACCTGGCAGAGAGTAGGAGACATTTGGAAACTATTTTTGGAAAGATTTTCATGACAGTATTACACAGATGTCAGGCAGCGGCCTCAGTATCCAGGTGTTGGTGTTGTGGGGGGACTGTCCCTGATTGTCCTTTAGACCCTGGGTTCTAGCTTCTGCACCCTCCCATCTGGCCGTTTGCTTAGTCGCTGTCATTCATACCCGGAGCTGCGGGTCTCACCATACATAATACCCAGACCCCAAAGTTGCCAAGGATCGGTTTTTTAAAAAATATTTTTGGGGGCTGGGGATGTGGCTCAAGCGGTAGCGCGCTCGCCTAGCATGCGTGCGGCCCGGGTTCGATCCTCAGCAGCACCACATACCAACGAAGATGTTGTGTCCGCTGAGAACTAAGAAAAAATAAATGAATGTTAAAATTCTCTCTCTCTCTCTCTGTCCCCCTCTCTCTCACTCTCAAAAAAAAAATATTTTTGGCTGTAGATGGACATCACACCTTTTGTTTTATTTGTTTATTTTTATGTGGTGCTGAGGATGGAACCCAGGGCCTCACACATGCTAGGCAAGCGCTCTGCCGCTCAGCCACAACCCCAATGTGATCACCTTCTTTGCAACCCCTCTGATCCTGCTTCCACTCACACCGTTTGATCCCTTGCATATCCTGTCCCAGCGTCCAAGTTCCTAGGGAGTCGAGACCGCTGACCTGGCTTCTATCCCAACAATGGCCCCAGCTCATCTGGGTGTCCCGTGTCTGAGCACCCGATACAGCGTCGACCAGCTCTGTCTTCTCAGCAGGGTAACAAACCCAAACGCAAGAGAGATGGTCCTCACACTCCTCCTGCTTTTTCTGGATCAGGAAACGGCAAACATCCTGGCTAAGTATCCGTACTTTGAAAGCTGAAGACTATCAAAGAGGCAAAGACCTTATCTGATGTCTTTTTAGCTCTGTTCTGGGACACCTTTGCCCCTAAAGGCTTTACCTTCAAGGCCTAAATGGCGTAAGAGTTGCTGATTTAAAAGAGGGAAAGTAATTAAGAGTTAGGCACATCCCCTAGAGATCTGCAAAAGATGTGCTTAGGCCAAAGAGAGATCCTGTCCTCTGACCTAAAGAATATGAGGCAGAAATCTTGCCTGGAAACAGAATCAGAAAAGACATCTAGCCAGGCGCAGTGGTGCACGCCAGTCAACCCAGCAGCTGGGGAGGCTGAGGCAGGAGGATCACCAGGTCAAAGCCAGCCACAGCAACTTAGTGAGGACCTAAGCAACTCAGTGAGACCCTGTCTCTAAATAGAATATTAAAATAGGGCTGGGGATGGGGCTCAGTGGTTAAGAGCCCCTGGGTTCAATCCTTGGTACCAGAAAAAAAAAAGACATCTACTATCACAGATATGGATTCAGACACACTTGGGATCCAATGCAGCCTCTCCCATGCGCTGGTTGTGTGGTTCAGACAAGAACCAAACCTCTTCCATTTCCTCACCACAGAATGCTGGGCTATGGACCCAGGTAGCCTGGTGCCTGAGACACAGAGGAGGCTCAGTAATAGCAAGCTATGAATGCCAGCAAGGGAATCCCAATAATGCACATGCCTGATCAGGGTGACCGTCTTACACACATACACTCCTGCCATTTCTTTTTTTTTAAATGTTTTTTATTTATTGGTACTGGGCATTGAACCCAGAGGTGCTTAGCCACTGAGCCCCATCCCCAGCCCTTTTTTTGTACTTTATCTAGAGACAGGGTCTCACTGAGTTGCTTAGCGCCTCACTAAGTTGCTGAGGCTGGCTTTGAACTCAGGATCCTCCTGCCTCAGCCTCCCCAGCTGCTGGGATGATAGGCATTATTCACCGTGCCTGGCTCACTCCAGCTTTCTCTGGAGGTGAGAGCGCTTCTGTTGGAAAAGAAATACTCTAAACAACAGGAAGAAGAGTCAGAGCCTGAAACAGAGAATGTCCACTGGGGGGATGGTGCAGGGGCAGTGCCCTGGCCTAGCACGCTCAAGGCCTGGAGTCTGATCCCCAGGACGGGGTGGGGGTGGGGGATCCAAACAGAGCCCCTCTCTGGTTTCTGCACAATCACCAGGAGCAAGGACTCATCATTCACTCCAGATCAGTGTGCACAATCCTTCTTTCTGCAAACCTTTCCCCGGAAAACGGATGTGAGAAGCTCCCCTCTCTCATCAGTACCCGGGGCTCCCTGAAGGTCACAGGAATGGAATCCCAGAGGACACCGTGGGATTTGAAAAAAATACACAAGAGCTCCTCCCCGCTGGGGCTTTTCCCCTTTAGCAATTGCGTTCTTTGTCAGAACTCAGCAAATCCATCAGGCCATTTGTCTCTGAATTATGAAAGTAAATGAATGCAAATGACCCTTCCTTCAGTCATGTTTCCCAAAAGATGTGCAGACAGAAATAAGAGACCTCTGAGCCATCTGAAAGAGGCAAGGCAGGCCCATCTATGAGCCATTAAGATGCGACCCCATAGCACCCGGGTGTGGAAGCCAGGCGGCCCTAAAGAAACAGCACTTCAAACGCTTTCAATCCCTGGCTAACAGAGGAAAGGCCCCTTTTACGGTCAGGGCCTGTGTTTACTTTCTTTCTCCCTGAAGAGCTCTCTTTTCCCTTCCCTAAACGTTTAGCGATGGGGCTGAGAAAACACTTCCTTAAAAGAAAACTCCCCTGTGTTCGTCTCGGGCCTTCTCTGTGGTTGGGGCTAAATCCATCCATCCTCCGGGAGGCCAGGGCCTGAGCACAGCCTTCTGTCCTGATCCCCAGACTTCTGAAGGCCAAGTGGGAAATTCCCAGCACAGAGTGGAATAACAGCTTTGTGAAGACCTCACATGGACCAAAGAAAATCCCAGGCCAAGTTCCCTGGACCAGAATCCACAAGTTCATTAGGTTTTGTCCTGCTTCCCAAGCGGAGAAGCTTCTTGCAAAGACTGTTGCTTGTTTTGCAAAATTAGCCTGGGCTGATGATTCCAGCATGTCTCAAAAGGCCACACTTCTGGCTGGGTGCCGTGGTACATGCCTGTAACCCCAGGGACTTGGGAGGCCGAGGCAGGAGGATTGCAAGTTTGAGGCTAGCCTCAGCAACTTACTGAGACCCTGTCTCAAATAAAATAAAGTAAGATCACAACCAAAAAGGACACACTTCTGAAGAGACTTGAAAGGGTAGAACTACAGAATGGACAGATCCAGTAGAAGATGATGAATTTGGACTTCTGACCTGAACATTGCAAATTTTATAGACCTGAAGTAGGACTAACCGATTGGGCTAATGACATCCACAGAGCCCCAAGCTTCAGTCCTACCAGACTTCTAGAACATACTATTACATCATGGTTTTTAGTTTACTTGTTATTCTCCTCAAACAGCTATAAATCCCTCAGGAGATGGACATTTGTGGGTCTCTACTAACCAGAATGATGCGTATCAGAGAGATCAATGATCTGCTAAGATGATTCTAGAAGTGTTCCGATTACAGAATCAAAGGGACCCATATAGGGCTTGCAAATTTTGAGACCCCCCAGGTCCAACATTAATTTCTCAATGATGTTTAACAAAATATATCTCACTAGTATTTAGAAAAAGGTTCTTCCAGACTTTGTTTCCACTTAGATGTTTTTTAAAACACATCGGAGCTGGGCATGGTGGCACACGCCTGTCATCCCAGCGGCTTGGGAGGCTGAGGCAGGAGGATCACGAGTTCAAAGCCAGCCTCAGCAACTTAGCCAGGCCCTAAGCAACTCAGCACGACCCTGGGGGCTGAGGACAGGGCTCAGTGGTGGAGGCCACTGAGTTCAATCCCCTGCACCCCAAAACAAACAAACAAAACATACACAACACACAGGAACTGGGGGAAGGGCTCGCTGTGGCCCAGGTGCTCAGCACGCACGAGTCCTGGGATGGATCCTCAGCACCACAAAACCCAAAACCCAAACCAGAGAGGGGACATAGCGAATATGCCACTTATTTTTGATCGCTAAATCCATAAGCATTCTCTACATTATGCAAACTTCAGAATTTTGAGTGGCTGAGTGGAGTGCGGTGGGGCCCCTAAAACAGGCTTTTTAGTCAATGGTGAGCATCTCTCTCCAACTGTCCATTCAGGGACATCAGACTGGCAGCTTGAAATCAATCATGGGGCTTTTTTTTTTTTTGTACTGGGGATGGAACCCAGGGGCACTTAACCACTGAGCCACATCCCCAGCTCGTTTTTAAAAAAAAAAAAAAATTTATTTTTTCAGTTATAGGCGGACACAATTATCTTTATTTCCAAGTGGTGCTGAGGATCGAACCCAGTGCCTCAGGCATGCTAGGCGAGCACTCTACCTCTGAGCCCCAGCCCCAGCCCTTTTTATTTTGAGACAGGGTCTCACTGAGTTGTTTAGGGCCTTACTAAGTTGCTGAGGCTGGCCTTGAACTTGTGATCCTCCTGCCTCAGCCTCCCGAGCCACTGGGATTACAGGTGTGTGCCACCATGCCCGGCTATATTTGGTGCCTTTTGCCTGAACTCAGAGATCAGGCGTGCAGCTCTGGTTACTTTGCTGGGAACCACTCTGGGAATGGAATCACTGGATTAGACTCTGCACAGATTTGCAAGACCTGCTAATGCATGTGTCCACATGCCCTGCAGAGAAGCTGTTCCCATTTCATCCTTAGAAGCATATGCCACCGAGGAGGGTGGCCCTGGGGCAGGCAGGGCGTGGAGGCTGGGTAAGGGGCGAAGCTCTGAGGACATACCTGTGGACACTTGGCAGCACTGTAGCAGTCCCCAGCTGTGGCAAAAGGCACGGGGTGCCCTTCACTTGTCCTTGCAAACTGTAAGTCAGTGGCTGTTGGAGGGGAGAAAGGGTTAAGGGGAGAGGAAGAGAAGAAGGGGGGAGGGAGGCAGAGAGGGACAGGATATGAGTGAGGAGAAAGAGGGAAGAAGAGGAGAAGAGGAGGAGTGAGCAGGAATGGGAGAGAAAGAAACAATTCCAAGGATTAGCCAGTAACTGGATCCAGATGTGCTGCGGGGGTTCCTCCTTAGATCTGTGGTTCGGAGACAGAGCTTCGCTCTCGGGGTTTATTGGCTCTGACTGTCTCCCCCCAGTATGGAAGCCCAAAGGGAGTTTCTTGCGACTTTGGAATCTAGTCCTACATAAATAAATAGGTGAGTCTCCTCCCTGAAAGGCGGACCCCTGAGGGACCTTCTGTCACTCTGCCTCCCAGGCTTAAGGCCGGGGCCAGGGGAGCTTTGCCAGCCACTCAGGGCCTATCCCCCGAGGGTCCATCTGTCCTTCTGTGGCCTGGGCACCCTGATTGCCAAAATGTAGAGCAATTAGAACCCACATCTTGAAATGATTAATGGCAGTTTCCCAAGTGTAGCTAACTGGAGTTTTTTTTTTTTTTTTTTTAAAAAAAAGGAATAAGAAAAAGCCAATCAAAATACTGCTGACTCAGAGCTTGCGTTTTTAACCCTGCCGTAGCTCCAGAGCCCAGTTCTGCAAACGCCTAGGAGCCATCAAAGTGAGAAAGCTGTCGGACATGTCTTCTGGTGGGACTGGAGGCCGGAGTTTATTTATCTTCTGCTCTTTTCTTTTTCTTTTTGGTAACTTGAGATTGAATCTGGGGGCACTTGACCACTGAGCCCCATCCCCAACCCTTTTTTATACTGTATTGAGAGACAGGGTTTTGCCAAGTTGCTTACAGCCTGGCTAAATAGCTGAGGCTGGCCTCGAACTTGCGATCCTCCTGCCTCTGCCTCCGGAGCCGCTGGGATCATAGGTGTGCGCCACTGAGCCCAGCCTGCTTTGATTTTTTTCAGGAATGGCCAAAGCCCTTCATCTTTCTGCAGAGAACCACACTTGGGTGGGAGGGAAATGGGAGAGCTTTGTTCTGCAAGCTGAGGTGCCTTCCAAAGGGAGAAACTGCAGTCCCTGTGCCTTGAGCCCTCATCAGTCTGGCCGAAGGCAATTAAAAATACGTTGGAACAAATCAGGTTGAATCTACCTCGAGAGGAAAAGCCATGCATATTCTGGTTCAATGTTAATGAGGAAAAATTCATTATTCATCATTTCTGTTTCTCCTCTGTTGGAGGGAGCATGTTTGGATAGCTGAGCTGTCTTTAAGCACTCTGGTGATTAATGTCCCCAACAGAAATGCAAGGTGGCCAGAGCATGGAGCAGCCCTCCTGCAGGCTTGTTAGAAAAGGTCACTCCGTGCTCCATGTTTCTTCTGGAAACTGACAATCAGGTGGAGTACGTGTCCACTGTGTTTGGGGGGCACTGTGCTGGTGGGAGCTGCTGGGATAAAATCTGCTCAGCTCTGGGGCTTTCCACCTGTGACTGTTCTGGAAGTTTCTGCGTCCACCTTTGCTCTCCTCACACTGACACCCCTGTGCCTGGCTGACCATGTTTTTTTCTTTTTCATTTTTTGATTGAGCCCAGGGGCACCTAACCACTGAGCTGTGTCCCCCACCCTATTTTCTAATTTTCATTTTGAGAGAAGAGCTTACTAGTTGGCATACAGTCTCCTTAAATTGCTGGGGCTGGCCTCAGACTTGCTCTCCTCCTGCCTCAACCTCCGTGAGCAGCTGGGATTACAGGCGGGTACCACCGTGCCCTGATCTGGGTGGGGAGGTACAGGGGATTGAACTCAGGGGCACTCACCACTGAGCCACACCCCTAGTCCTATTTTTGTGTGTGTCTTAGAGACAGAGTCTCACTGAGTTGCTTAGCCCCTTGTTTTTGCTGAGGCTGGCTTTGAATTCCTGATCCTCCTGCCTCAGCCTCCTAAGCTACTAGGATCACAAGGGTGTGCTACCAAACCAGCCTGAGCCCTTCTTGATCCTCATGTCATAGCAAGTGTCATTTGTCTGTGGTGTTGTCCCGATTTCCCACACTGCCTCGGGGTCCTGCTAAGGGACATGGGCCTCGGTCATTCATCACAAATCTGCCAGGTACAGTACAGGGAGTGAAGACCAGACCCTACCTTGGGGCATCCTAGCTGGGGACTGTGGTTACCGAAATGCAAGCTCTCGGCCTCATGGCCTCTGCGGCCTCCGGCCTCACCCGCCGCCCCCCCCTCCCCCCAGGGAGGACAGTGGGTAGCCCCGAACTCACTGACTATCTGCATGCTGCTGAGGTCCAGTCGGATCTTCTGGAAGCTGGAAAACCCGGCGGCTGTGTAATCCTTCCTGCACGGGCAGTCATCCCGGCGGCTCCCGTTGTAGGGACACTCGGTGGGGTTGTGCAACCTACGCCATGGAGAGGAGGCTCAGACAGGAGGCTCAGACTGGAGGCTCAGGTGGGGACAGCCCGATTTCCTGGGGCTCCCCGGGCTTCGCCTGGCTGTCTCTGAGCGGCTGTCCTACCTGTGCCCGTAGACCTCGGAGAAGTTCTCGGCGTCCCCGCGGGCCAGTGTCACGTACTCCTTGGGGCGGTCGGACTTCATCCCCGCGCAGAAGACCTGGGGAGGCCAGAGGAGGCCGTGGGGAGCGGTTCGGGGGCACAGGACGGGTGGGTCCCCAAACACGGCTCCCGGACGACACTCACCTTCAGGGGCTTCCCCCTGATGATCAGGAAGTACTCGCCGTCCTCTCTGGCACCCGTGAGTCGTTGGACCTCCCTGCAGTTCTGGGGTAACTCGCCTGGAACACCCGAAATGCAGAGAGGGAGGGGATGCGCCCAGATGGGTGGGGACCGACAATAAAATGGATGGCACCAAGATGTGTGAGCAAAGGGGAAGATTTCTTTAACAATAGCGTTAATAGTGCCTGCCTCTAATCCCAGAGGCTGGGGAGGCTGAGGCAGGAGGATCGCAAGTTCAAAGCCAGCCTCAGCAAAAGTGAGGCCCTAAGCAACTCAGCGAGACCCTGTCTACAAAATACGGCTGGGGATGGGGCTCAGGGGTCAAGTGCCCCTGGGTTCAATCCCTGGTAACCTCCCTCCCCCCCAAAAAAATCCTGCCACTGTGTTTCTAAGACAGATGAACGAAGAACCCCGTTCCCAATGCTGGAGAAAGGGCTCCCGTCAGACCACTTACAGTTATAAATATTATGGCAGTTTTTTTGTTCCTCTGGCTTCAGATCAGCGGGACATAAGTGGCTGGGCTGGTCCTCGTTGGTTAAACACTGCACCGACCTGCTCATCACCCCGACGCCGCAAGACACGGAGCACTGCGAGGGAAACCAGGGTCAGCGGGAGGCTGTCAACCCCGCTGGCATGGGCTTCTGGCCGGGCGGGGCTCAGAGCCCCGATGTCACAGGCAGGGTGACCATTCAGACCCCGCGTGGATGACAAGAAGTTGGCATGTGCTGAGCACTCACTATGGACCAGCCTCTGTGCTAAGCCTTAGACATACACATTTTAGCTTTATGCATAGGTATGCAACATACCCAGGAAACACCTTTACATATGTGTAAAATTGCATGTGATTATATGCATACATACATTTTTAAAATTCAGGCTGCACCATAGTCCTGTGAGAAGGACTACCATTGCCCTGTTTTTACAGATGAGAGATTGAGGCTGAAATGTTAGGGAATTTGTTAATGTCATGGTGAGGCCAGGATTGTATGTGTGTGTTGGACACAGGGCATTGAACCCAGGGAGCTGTACCATTAAGCTACAGCCCCAACACCCTGCCCCTTTTTAATTTTAAAACTTGCTGAGTTGCTGAGGCTGGCCTCAAACTTGTGATCCTCCTGTGTCAGCCTCCTGAGCTGCTGGGATTACAGGTGTGAGCTACTGGGTCTGGCACAAGTCACCACATACTTAAGCCTAATCACCTTTCAAGAATGAGAATCTCATAGCCCAGGCAGGAGGCTGCAGCAGTTCTCCAGCAGGGCCGACTCAGTTCAAAATCCTCTGCCTTGTTGAACCCGTAACACCATGACATACCCCCAACACAGGACAACAAGAACCTACAGACTCCCTGAGAACAGAAGCTACAAGACATAGCTGCTACCATGAGTAACTCCTGCCAAGGGCCAGACTCCAAGTGCTTTTCATGTTGTTTTATTTTTAAAGTCCTGGGGATCAAACCCAGAGCCTTGTGCATGTTAGGCAAGCTCTTCAGCACTGGGAGAATCTCCCAGCCCTCCTTTGAAAGGAAAGGGTAGTAAGTGGGGCACAGAGGCACACTTGTCACCCCAGCAGTAAGGAGGCTGAGACAAGAGGATCCTGAGTTCAAAGCCAGCCTCAGCAACTTAGTGAGGCCCTAAGCAACTCAGTGAGCATCTGTCTCCAAGTAGAATATAAAATAGGCCTGGGGATGGGTCTCACTGGTCTAGTGCCCCTGGGTTCAATCCCTGGTACCAAAAAAAAAAAAGTAATTAAAAAATACACACACACACACACACACACACTCACACACATATATAATAAAATTGGCATTCTAACGATTTACATATTAAGCCTTTTGCATATTGACATTTCACCTCCACCCACTGTCTAGATGAGGAAACCGAGGGCTGTCCAGCTCACATTGCCCTGGAAGGTGGACAACCCGCGATTCAGTTCCAGCCCAAGTGGCTTCCAAGCACAGAGCCACCCTGTCAGAGACCAGAGAGGCCCCTCTCCTGCTCTTTGCAGCCCAGCGCTAACATGTGGCCCCATCAGGCCGGCGGGGCTCAGGGGCAGGGCCCTCTACTCACGCTCCCCCAGTTGCCGACTCTCCAGGCGGCCGAGGCGGGGCAGGTCCCGGGGTAGCAGGGGCGGACGCTGGCGGGCTGCGGGCCGGGGCAGGGGGCGCTGGCCTGGTAGGTGTACTGGTAGCTGTCCTTGCCCGCGTAGACCTCGCTGCACGACACCAGCCTCTGCTGGTAGCCCTTCCCGCAGGTCACCGAGCACTGTGGACAGAGGGCCCCGAGGGAGCTTCAGGCAGGGCTCTGGGCAGCCCCGGGGGTCGCTCTCCAGCTGGCCCTGTCTCCAGGGTGCCTGGGGGCTCTCTAGCGGCCAGCTCTGGAAGTCCACCACAGGGCGGCCCAGGCACCCAGGGGACAGGCAGCCCAGGCACCCCGGGGACAGGCAGCCTGGGACACTCCCACACCTGGGGCTCCCACTGCAGGGACCTGGGGTCCCTCCCACCCCTCTCTGCGTCTCCAGGGGAGAAGGACCAGGAGGATCCATAGTTGTCACCAAACTGTGCTCTTCCAAACCTACAGTCGCCACATCACAGAAGCCACCGACAGCCAACCCATGAGCTGTCATTTTGAGTGTGGAATGCAAACATTTAGCCAGAGGGGACTTGGGGGGCGTGTCCACCCCTGGGAACTGAGTGCTTCCACACAGGCCTGTCTCTTCTGTCCCTGGCCAGGGACCATCTTGCTCCCCACTGCACCCAGCACTGGGGGTTACTTTAAGGATTCTTTGCCATGGGCCATGTCCCTAGTCCTTTGACATGACGATGAGACGGTGAACCTGGGATGGAACCCAGGGGTGCTTTACCACTGAGCCCCAGCCCCAGCCCTTTTTATTTTTTTTATTTGGAGACAGGGTCTCACAAGATTGCTTAGGGCCTCTCCCAGGGCTGACCAGTGCTTGCAGGCATCGACCTTGGTCTGTCCTGACTTCAAAGAGGCTGTATGTTTGAGAAGATGGGTGCTGAGAGCCCTGGCCCCTACACACCACAAGCAAAAGCAGCCCACCGGCCATTCCAGAGGGCTCAGGGCATTTGTTTGCTGAGGACACTGAGCCCCAAGTGTGGCCAGGCTTGGTTCAGAGGCCCCCACTCTCTGAAAGGAAGCTGGGAAAAGCAGATCGTCTCAACCGGCTGATAAAAGCCTTGTGAACATGTCCCTTGCCCCTGGGTTCTCCAACCAAAGCAGGCCAGAGTGTTGCAGGGTTTGAGTGGCCCCTCTCTGAGGAGGGAAAGTCATGCATGTTCTGCCTGTGCTCCCTGTCCTGGTTTTATACGTGGGATTCTTCCTGAGCCTGTCTTCCTGATCTAATTTGAAAATAAACCAGGCGCAGAGGCACACACCTGTGATCCCAGCAGCCGGGGAGGCCGAGGCAGGAGGATCGCATGTTTGAGGCCAGCTTCAGCAACTTAGCAAGGCCCTAAGCAACCCAGCAAGACCCTGTCTCTAAATTAAAAACATCTCCAAAAAGGGCTGGGGATGGGGCTCAGTGGTTAAGCACCCCCAGGTTCAATCCCTGGGGCCACACACAAGAAAGTAATCATCATAAAGTAAAATAAACAAATACATAAAGAAAGAAAATAAAAAGGAAGCACAGGATGGTGTCTCCTTCCCAGCAGGACCCTCTAGGCCACACTGGGGGGCATCTCTGTCGGGGGTGGGACTTCTCTTTGCAGGTCTTTCTCTGTTCTCTGCAAACCTAGAGGGGTGACCTCCAGAAGGACACAGAGCACTCTCTAGGAGCAGAGGTCCCAGGGACAGGGCAGCTTTGCGGTGGCACTTGCACGTTCACAGATCCTTCTAGAAGGAATTGCTCTGCCAACCCCTCTCTGCATCTCTCCCCTTGTAAGCTCCCTTCCCTGTGGTCCTTCCGTCTGTGCCCGGTCCTGCTTTAAGGCTTCTAGACCGTCTGCAGATCTGCACAGTTTTCAATTCATAATACAGCTGAAAACCCGTGGAAGTGTGGGACTGTTATTTTTTAAAAAATCTTTCTACCTCCTCTGTCAGGGGTTTCGTTTTGTATTAAAGCTACAAGAGTGACATGACTGAAGTCTTAGAAAGAAACGCGAACTCTTAACATAAAAAAGCAGCACATAGAAGATTGGCTGAGAGGATGCTGTCATAGAAGGCTGAGAGGAGGCTGTCATAGAGGCTGAGAAGAGGCTGTCATAGAGGCTGAGAAGAGGCTGTCATAGAGGCTGAGAAGAGGCTGTCATAGAGGCTGAGAGGAGGCTGTCATAGAAGGCTGACAGGAGGCTCTGTCATAGAGGCTGAGAGGAGATTGTCATTGAACGCTGAGAGGAGGCTATAATAGAAGGCTGGGAGGAGGGCTGAGAAGAGGCTGTCATAGAGGCTGAGAGGAGGCTGTCATATAAGGCTGAGAGGAGGCTGTCATAGAGGCTGAGAGGAGGCTGTCATAGAAGGCTGAGAGGAGGCTCTGTCATAGAAGGCTGAGAGGAGATTGTCATTGAACGCTGAGAAGAGGCTGTCATAGAAGGATGAGAGGAGGCTGTCATGAAGCTGAGAAGAGGTTGTCATAGAGGCTGAGAGGAGGCTATCATAGAAGGCTGGGAGGAAGCTGTCATAGAAGGCTGAGAAGAGGCTGTCATAGAGGGTGGGAGGAGGCTGTCATAGAAGGCTGGGAGGAGGCTGTCATAGAGGCTGAGAGGAGGCTGTGAGTCTTGGCCAGTGAGAGGCACAGCAGCTCCAGCCAGCTCTCAACTGAGTAGCCCTTGACTGAGCTCAAGTCAAGAAGCAGAGTCCCCAGGAGGCAGAGGAGTGCACAGTCACAGGGACAGGCCTTGAGCGGGAGAGAGGGAGGGCGGGAAGGCAGGATGTCTTTTCCCCTGCTGAGATCCAGGAGTAGCTTCCTGTGAAAGCCTTGGGGACACAAGTTGGGGACGCTGTCTGATGAAGAAATAAGGGGCAAAGAGAACCAGAGGAGCCACTTCCCGTGACTCCCTCCTGCCTCCCTGGCCTCAGGACAGTGGGGATGCAGGCCTCAAACTGGGAGGCAAAGACTTCTGAACTCTCACCTGGGTCACATGCTCCTGCCCGGGGAGCTGTCCGCCTGTTTCCTAATAGCCTGACCCGTGTCCCTTCACCCTACAGAGGCCATCACAGGGCGCAGGGCGTGGCAGGGCAGGACCACCCCTCAGCCAGGACCCCTTTCGGACCCAGCTGTCCAGAAACGTGGCCCCCTCTTCCCTGGCCCGATTTTCCCAGAGGCCACACAGCTGGGCTTTTGTGTGAGGCCTCCTAACCCCCAATGCAGCCTCGTTTCTGCCATTGCTGTTTCCAGCCCTGTGCAGGCCGGTCCCATCACGTCTGGCAAGGCCAATGTGGATTTCCCATTTCACCAATTTTGCCCAGAGAAACACAACAATCTTCTGTGATATCCAAAGAACCTCAGGGGTCTATCTCCCCTGTACATCCCCTATGCTGCCTACCTAGACACCTCTCTTTATCGGTCAGTCCACACGAGTGATAGCATGACTATCTTCTTTTCAAACCTTATGAATTTTTTTGGGGGGGCACAAGGATTGAACCCAGGGGCACTCGACCACTGAGCCCCATCCCCAGCCCTATTTTGTATTTTATTTAGACAGGTCTCACTGAGTTGCTTAGCACCTCTCTTTTGCTGAGGCTGGCTTTGAACTGGAGATCCTCCTGCCTCAGCCTTCGGAGCTGCTGGGATTATAGGCTGGGCCACCCTGCCTTGTAAACCTTATGATTTCTTTTTAATGCTTATATACTTAGTTGGTACTGGGGATTAGATTCTGGGGTGCTTTACTGCTAGACTACACATCCCCAACCTTTCTCTCAAATTTTATTTTATTTTTTTAAACTGGGAATTGAATTCAGGGGCATTTAACTATTAAGCCCAGCCCTATTTTGTATTTTATTTAGAGACAGAGTCTCGCTGAGCTGCTTAGGGCCTCACTGAGTTGCTGAGGCTGGCTTTGAACTTGGGATCCTCCTGCCTCAGCCTCCTGAGCCACTGGGAATACAGGTGTGCACCACTGCACCCGGCCCTTCTTAATTTTTATTTACTTTTTAAAACGTAAGCCTGGGTCTCACTGTGCTGCTAAGGGTCTTCTTGCAGTCCCTGTCACAACTCATCATCTCATCCAGCGGAGTCCGCAGCAGGAGGAGTTGAGGCAAAGGAGACCCGGCCACAGACCTCCCCGGTTTGCACCCAGGACCCACCCGAGAGCACGAGGGTTCTCAGGGCAGAGCTGGGAGATGGGTCCCGCCCCTTCCCTGAGCTGCTCCCAGGCCAGGCTGACCTGGAGGCGCCCCCCCCCCCAGTGTCCCCGGGACCGTACCTCTGACCACTCGCCCGTGATCCACACGTACTCGCAGGGCTGCAGGCTGCAGCTCTCGCGCTCGGCTGGCCGCTGGCCGGGGGCGCAGTGCGCGCTGTGCACCTCCGCTTCGCGGGCGTCCACGCACAGCACCCGGCGGAACCGCGAGCCCTCCCCGCAGGTCTTGGTGCACTGCAAGGACACAGCGGTGGGAGAGAAGGTGAGGCCCGTCCTCCGATGTCCCCGGCTGCCTTCGGTTACCTGGCCACCTGGCTCTGAGCTCCTAAGGCTGAGGCCCTGCCTTCTGAGAAGTCCCGGTTCAGCTCCTTTGCCCACTGATTGATCGGGCTATTTTACTTATTTATTTTTTTGAAGTTGTAGATGGACACGATACTTTTTTATTTAATATTTATTTATTCATTTCTATGCGGTGCTGAGGATCTAACCCAGGGCCTCCTCACACGTGCTAGGCGAGTGCTCACCAGCAGCTTCAGCCCAGCCCTGGTTAGAGTGTGTGTGTGTGTGTGTGTGTGTGTGTGTGTGTGTGTGGTTTTTTGAATTCTTTGCATAGCCTGAGTATTAATACTCTATCTAAGGTGCAGGTGGTAAAGATTTTCTCCCATTCTATTGGCTCTCTGTTCACATTTTTGATAGTTTCCCTTTGCTGTAAAGAAGCTTTTTAGTTTGATTCTTGATTTCACTTCCTGTCTTGTTGAGGAAGTTGGTTCCAAAGTCAACATGGTGGAGAAGTGGGCTTATTTGGGGCCTACACATTCATGCTTATAACAGCTCAATCCACAATAGGCAAGCTATGGAACCAACCTAGATGCTCTATGGACAGATGAATGGATAAAGAAACTGTGGTACCTATACACAATGGAATATTACTCAGCCTTAAAGAAGAATGAAATTATGGCATTTGCTGGTAAATGGGTGGAACAGGAGACTATCATGTTAAGTGAAAAGAAGCCAATCCCAAAAAATTAAAGACTGAATATTCTCTCTGCTGTGCACATGCTAACACACCACAAGGGAAGGTGGGTAGGGAAGAATAGAATTTCATTGGGAAATGAAGGGAAGGAAGGGAGGGGGATGGGAATGGGAAAGACAGTGGAGTGAATGGGACAGAACTTTCCCATGTTCCTATGTGAGCACACGACCAGGGAAACTCCACATCATGTCCAACCACAAGAAGGGGAAGTTAGACTCCATGTTTGTATAATATGTCAAAATTCAATCTATTCTCAGGTATATCTAAAAAGGACAAATAAGAAAAAACCCTGAGATCCTGAAGCAGGATGTCAGAGCTCCCCAGGGCACGCGAGGAGCCTGACCAGGAAAGGAAAAAGTCGAAGGAGTGACTCTCAGTCTTGGAAAGGCCCTCAGGCCTGAAAACTCAACACCTACCCAAATGCAGACTTGCCTTTAAAACCAAAGCCCCAGGGTCACCCAACTGCCACCTGAATACCTCTGGTGCCAGGAACGTGGCGGTGGGTGCTGATTCCAGCCCTTGCCCTGTCTCCTATCCTGGGGAGCCACAAATGACAAGTCCCACCTCTCCCCAGGAAGCCCCACAGACGTGGGAATGTGCTGTCCTGGCCACAGCCTGTCCTACCCCAGGGTGGACGGATCACACCCCAATCACCCACACACTCCAAGTCTCCACCAACGGCCAGGCCCAGGGCAGGTCCTGGTGGGGGAGAGTGGATAACAGGATAACAGCAAGAAGGTGAGATTTAGGGTTTTCTATAATTTCCACATTTCAGATAAAGGAACTGGGATTTTTTTTTTTTTTTAAACCAGGAATTGAACTCAAGGGCCCTTAACCACTGAGCCACATCCCCAGCCCTTTTTTATATTTTATTTAGAGACAGGGTCTCCCTGAGTTGCTTAGGGCCTTGCTAAGTTGCTGAGGCTGGCTTTGAACGTTCCATCCTCCTGCCTCAGCCTCCAGAGCCCTGGTATTACAGGCGTGCACCACTGTGCCTGGCAAGAAACTGGGATTTTAAGAGCCTTAAGTAACTCATCCCTGGTCATACATGTTTGCTCCTGTCAGTCAAGACTGGAAAAGAAAGCTAAGGATATATTTTGTTCTAGAATGATCTCTGTGTTGTCCACAAAGTTCTTATCTTTTTTTGCTCCAACCAACAGCAAAGTCCACCTTAGAAGTCTCATCTTGGTGATGTGTTGCTAAGGTCACCAAAACCTATTCTCTCTAAAGAGTCCCTGTCTCTCTCTTTAAGACTCCAGATGACTTTGGGAGCTGATGGACACATGTACTGAGCCCAGCGTCCATTTCCTTAACCCCAGTGATAATCCTGTGGCCCTGGGTTATCGAACAGTCAGTGAATTTTCTAATTTAGGAGTCCAAGGAGAGCCCCAGATCTCACCTCTCACAGACAGACTTTCCCCCAAGGCATCTGAGATCCAACCTCACTCAGAGAGGTCTTTCCTAATCTGCCCCATGGACATTTTTGAGTAATGTTACTATGAACATTCAGACTGTTTACAGACTGGTAAACCCGGTTTCAAATCTTATTTTTTATTTATTTTTTTGGTACCAGGGATTAAACGCAGGGGCACTTAACCACTGAGCCATGTCCCCAGCCCTTATTTTATTTTATTTTTTTAGAGACAGGGTCTCACTGAGTCACTTAGGGCCTCGCTAAGTTGCTGAGGCTGGGTTTGAATGATCCTCCTGCCTCAGCCTCCTGAGCAGCTGGGATTACAGGTGTGTGCCACTGCGCCTGGCCTGATTTCAGATCTTTAGGGTAGACTTCTAAGAAGGGAATGGCTGTCGATCCTTCAGGAATGACTTTGTTCCTTTAGGGAGCAGAATCGATCTCCTGCTATGTGTTGTTAGCTTCTCATTATTCTCGAACTTAAAATTGCTTGCTTGGAATCCAGCAAAAATCTCAGAGTCTGGAATGCGGACCCTCATCCATTTCCCAGAGAACAGATCTGACTTAAAACCACTTTGAGGAGAGCCTGGGGGAGAGCTTATAACAGGACCTGCTTCCCGGCTCATCCCTGCCTCAGTGATTCTGGGGGTTCCATTTTCCTGAACTAAGCTGACAGCTACTGCAAAGGGATAATGTTTTGGTTTTTTTCATTAGTCAGCCAGGTACAGGGGCGCATGACTGTGATCCCAGCGGCTCTCGAGGCTGAGGATGGAGGATTGCAAGTTCGAGGCCAGCCTCAGCAACCTAGCGAGGCCCTCAGCAATTCAGCCACACCCTGTCTCAAAATAAAATATAAAAGGGGCTGGGGATAGGGCTCCATGGTTAAGCACCCCTGGGTTCCATCCCTGGTACCAGAAAAACAAAAAAACCAAACCAAAAAGTGTACAGATAGCTGCAGAAGAAATTTGTAGCTACGTGTGGAAAAAGTAATGCCTTAAAAAGCAAAGACTTGGGTGACTCAGAGAAGATGGTGATCAGTGAGCAGCCGACCTGGACTACACGTTCCAGGCCTCCAGCTCCTTTTCCTTAACCCCCAAGGCTCATCTTGGTGTCAATCAGTAACGGCTCAGAGCAGCAGCACCCAGACTCCTGAATGCTCTCTGCCTGCTACGTGCCTGTCCCTGCGTCTTGAGGAACAGTTGGTTAACTACCAGGAGAGCTATTTGACCACGAGCAGAGAAGTGAGCTGGGAAAACCTCTCCCTTTTCAGAAAATTAAAAATTAAGCCAGGTAAATCAGTGACTGGCCCGTGCCTTGGAAATGGTCAACAGCAGCTCTGAGAGTCACGTGAGGAGGGTTTTGTCCTGGAATCTTTAATCCTAATGAGACGGTGGGGGCTGGGTAACCAGAAAACCAGTCCTGCTGTGAGACTGGGGGTTCAGCAGCGTCTGCTGAGACTCCTCCCCATCCTGTCCTGGAATATGATCTAGAATGTTCTAGAAAGCACCCAGGAAGTTCAAGGAGTCTTATTTTCATGTCCAAAGGGCTTTCTCTGATTCCATTATAGCTTTTAGAGGAAAACCTCCAATAAATGCATAAGAAACACCTGCAGCCTCCGTCAATTCCAGTGCACTGTGTAATTCAGGAGGAGAATAATCACGGGGCTGGACGCAGTGGGGTAGGTTGCTGGGGGTGCTTCGGGCTGCATGTGCCTTTAAATGTGCTAAAATTAACAGTGGGGAAATAGCTTTCCAAATTGGAGGTTGAGGAAGCCCTAAAATAAACTCTTTAAGGTACTGTTTTGCTCAGCCAGGTAGGAAGGCCATGGGGTGCCGGTCTAAACAGGATCATTTAATGCGACAGGTGGAAATTGTCTGTCCTTAATGATTGTAATCAGGTTGCTTTATACTTTCAAATACACTTTTTGGTGCAGTTCCCTAACCATAGGGGGAGACCAGTCACGTGATATTCACAGGCTCTGCCTTTTGAGATTATTGATTCTCTCCAAGGAGGAAAGACTCTGCACTTCTAGAGTCACAATGCCTGCAGAGCATACAGAGGAGAAATCACAGACTGCAGGTGGACCCAGGGTTCCTCGTGTGACCTTAAGGGTTTTTTTTTGGGGGGGGTACCAGGGATTGACCTCAGGGGCACTGAACCACTGAGCCCCATCCCCAGCCCTATTTTGAATTAGAGACAGGGTCTCACTGAGTTGCTTAGGGCCTTACTTTTGCTGAGGCTGGCTTTGAACTCATGATCCTCCTGCCTCAGCCTCCCGAGCTGCTGAGAGTACAGGTGTGTAGCACCACGCCCAGCAAAGACTTTAAATTTTTATATTATGAGATGCAATGATGGAAAATCCCCCACCCCACAATAAACTGTTTTTAAATCACCAAGGGCTTCTATTCTTAAGCTCATTTTAAAGTCAGGGTCTCACTGAATGGCTTAGGGCCTCCCTGAGTGGCTGAGGCTGGCTTTGAGTTCTCGATCCTCCTGCCTCAGCCTCCCCTGGGATTACAGGCATGCATCTTCGTGCCCAGAAAATTTGGACATTTCTGCCCCCTGATTAACAGACTTCTAAGGAAAAAAGGAGGCAGAAATGTTACCACGGAGACATTTTACAACTTTGACGTCACTCAGTCAGTCAGTATTCACAGCAGGCCAGGTTCTGGGCTGGGGACCGACACACAGCCCAGACAGCTCCGTACCCAGCTTCCCTCCCTATTGTGCCACGCAAGGCTGCAACTACTCTCAGCTCGGGGTCCTGAGTGTCACTCAGTCGGCTCACTGGTGGTCACCGGGCTTAGCACCTAGGGCCACCTGTACAGCAGACGTGGGTTCCTCACAGAATATACTTGAGTATATCTCAGGGAAAGAAGAGGAGGCCAAGGGCATCTCCAAATGCTAAAGGGGGGCCCTGCTCAAGCAGTCGGGGTTCTTGGATGGCATGATTTGAGGACTGGGATTTTAAATGCCTTCCTAAAGCACAGTACGTGGAGCTTTGCAAGTGGCCATACGGATTTATCAAATGAAGTACTGAATGACAGGAGCCCTGTGTCCACATCCCACCCTGGTCCCACCCCACTGTGACCATCGTGAAGATCACTAAGACCTCCTGCTCGTCCTCAGAGTCCAGATCTGCATGAGCAAAACCTCGTTCCTCTGCTGGGCCAGGAGCAGGTGGGCAGAGCTGCAGAGGTCTTGCTTATCAGGGCAGATGCCTTTCTGACAAGGAAAGGGGGTCACGTGCTGAAACAAGACATCTCACCAACGTACAGGTGAGTTTACGACCTCAGAGAGGAGGAGCAGAAAGCACAAGATACTCGCAGCATGTCAACAAGATGTATAAGGTGTTTGCCAAGAACCGCTAAGAGAGAGGGTCTTGTCCAGGGAACTCCAGCTGTCCCACTCTGGAGGCCCGGATGTTGCTCTGGCTTTCTCGCCAGATCAGGTCAAGGGTCATTAGGGAGGAAAGTCAAAACATGTGCCTGAGTGAGAGGGTCCAGGAGAACAAGACAGAGCGGGGGTGGGGGTGGGGGTGGCTGTGCTCTAGGGGCCAGGAGGGGCCTGCGTGGGGAAGCAACCACCCTCCTTACTGTTTAACCAGGACACCTGTGACCACAGAGGTAGGAACAATCAAGGATCCCATTAGTTGGCTCCAGGCAAACAGGTGGGACGTGCAAAGGGTCACACTGCCCCTGATCTGGGCTCCTGATCTGGTCGGCTCAGGTTCTCAGGCACCTGGACACTCCCTCTCCACTCTGCTGCCCTGGGGACATTCTGAGAAGGCCAACAACAACCTTTTACATGGGGACATGAAGGTCCGGATGGATTTCTCAAGCTTCCAGCTGCCCTGAGCGTCACTTTGCCACAGTGCACTAGCCACCCGTGACCCCAGGTCCTCCTCCAAACTCTCAAACTCGGGGGCAGGCACAGGAGAAAGCACAGGGGGCAGGAGGGAGACTCTCGGACCTGCCCGCCATGGTTAATGGGGTCTCTCTGGTTAATCTCTGGAAACATCTTAAACACAGGTCCCAGCCAGACTGGGTCCTTAGGTCTTCTTCTTCTGTTTTTTTGGTACCAGGGATTGAACCCAGGGGCGCTTAACCAGAGCCCCATCCCCAGCCCTTTTTGTATTTTATTTAGAGACAGGGTCTCACTGAGTTGCTTAGGGCCTCCCTAAATTCCTGAGGCTGGCTTCGAATTCACATCCTCCTGCCTCAGCCTCCCACCTCAGCCTCTGAGCCACTGGGATGACGGACGTGAGCCATTGCGCCCGGCAGGTCTTCTTACTCAGAGATTGAAAGCAATACCTGAGGATAGATTTTCAAAGATCCATCTGCATAGCTTATGTGAATACATAAACTTCCAGGTTTAGTTTGTATGACAGGAAAAGAGGAATTTCATCAGTGCTTCTGGGGCAAGATCCCCTCTCCACCTTTTTTTTTTGAGATTTAGAAGGAGTCTCAAGGGGTTTGGTGATTGGTTCTAGCAGGTTCAGAAACTGGCTGGAGCCTGAACAGTCCCCTTTGGTCCATTTCTAAATGCTCTCTTACTTTTACTCCCTGGAGCAGTCACACAGAGCAGAGTTGGCATGAGATGGAGAGGGACAGGGCAGAAGCAGCCAATAAACAAGAACTGCACGGAGAAGAAGCCGGGTGTGGTGGTGCACGCCTGTCACCCCAGCAGTGGGGGCTGAGGCAGGAGGATCACAAGTTCAAGACCAGCCTCAGCAACTTAGCGAGGCCCTAAGCAACTCAGAGAGACCCTGTCTCTAAATAAAAAAGTAAAAAAATGTCTGGGAATGTGGCTCAGTGGTTAAGTACCCCTGGGTTCAATCCCTGGTACCAAAAAAAGAAAAAGACAATTGCAAGAGAATTAAGAGGTATTATTAAGGCAGGGGGACAAAGGAGCCTCCAGTTCTTCTGCATTGGACATGCCAATTCCCAAACCATAATTGATGCTTCTCTCCATCTTTCTCAGAGTAGCTCTGCATAGTTCCTGTTCTCCCCACCCTGCAGATGGTGAAGCCAAGACTCAGAGAAATCTAGAATCCCTGTTCTGAGTCTCGTGGCTGGCAGGCAGCAGAGCTGGGGTAGGAACCAGGTCTGTGTTCTAAGTCTCCGGGTTCCCAGTAACGTACAGGGCTCCCGTGCAACGAACCAGAACTGTATCTGATGTAGGCACTGCTGCCCGCTACCCTCTGATGGACGCAGACCTGCCTCATGGGCTGGGGATGTGGCTCAGTGATTGAGTGCTCCTGAGTTCAATTCCTGGTAAACCCCCCCGCCCCGAAAAAATAAAAGAATGCAGGTGGACATCTCATCATAGTTAAGAAAACAAACTTAAGATCCCAACTTTTGCTTCTTCCCGGTGATTAGTATATGACACGGACTCTCAGAACCTCAGTTTTCTCATCTATAAAATGGGCTGATAACAATATACATCTAATCTAGTGGTTAGAAAGATTGAGTGAGGTGACATGAACACAAAGCACCCACCTCACTACCAAGTATAGTGTCTTTGCTCCCCAAACTGTAACCCTTTCTGTACATTCCCAGAGCGATTCTGGGTCTGGGGGACTCCCGACCTATCTTTGAGCTTTAAACAGCTTGCAATTTTATTTATTGCAACATCAGAGGAGGTGGTTTTGCTTTTCATTTTCTTTCCCCCCTTTGTGCAATCAGAACACACACACATACTATGCTCTGGAAACTGAGGTCACCTCTTATTAATGTCTTACCTTCCCAGCCAGACTCTTCTCCAGGGACACTTAGTGTTTTCTTTAGCTAATAATTAACTGGGGATGGGGCGGGGGGAGTAAGTCCGGCTTATTTCTGCACCCATGGAAGAGTTTTGGATGCTGTCCTTCTTTCACAATCACTGGAAATCCTTCACTAGTGAATCCCAGTTTCACAGGAGCACCCGTCTTCTACCTGACAGCCCAAGTCATGCAAAAGGGGGAAAAGTACACAGCAGGTCCTACCTACAGTCTGCCTTCTGGCTGGCGGCTATTGCAAGAATACAGAGTGGCCCAATCTGGACCTGCAGAGTTAACATGTCCCTCCCGCCTGCCCCTCCTGTGAGCCTTATCTTTAGGCATTTGGCTCAAGGCCTGGAGAACTTGTCTGGCACAGTCAGACCCAGGACGTTGGGGACACTTGGAGCCTGGGGAGGAGCAGCTTCTGCAGGGCGCTCCCCACCCCGCCGTGGGAATGCTGCAGACTTGACAGCCCGCCTTTGGGAAAGGGCCAGCCACCACGCCACCCTGCTGCAGGGCCCCGGGCTTCCCAAGGTGGAGGTGACGCCGGCCAGGGGCGGGGCAAGCGACAGGTGTCCCCACTCACCTCCTGCCACTGCCCGGCCCTCCAGGCGAAGCGCGGGCAAGGCGGGCTCTCGCAGGCGCGCTCCGACGCGGGTCTGGCAAAGAGGTCGCACTGGGTGTCGCGCGCTGGTCTGTGCGTCCCGATCTGACAGCTCACGCGCCTCTGCTGCACGCCGGGGCCACAGGACGCCGAGCACTGGGAAGACAGAGGACGGTAAGTGGCCGCTTTGGCTCATTTTTTGGTGGGGGAAGGTGAGGAGGCGGGCGGTGCCCTCCTAACCCAGTGACCTTCACTGCTAGCTCGACAGTGGGACCCACGGGCACTTGGGAACTCAGCCGCTGGAGGGGCTGGGGGTTGGGAAGAGCCACCCGAGTGTCAGGGGGTCTCTGAGTTAGCAAAGCCCCCCGGAGGGGGATTGGAGCGCTGGGAAGAGTGGGGTGGAGCAGTCAGCACCCCCCAGAGGACAAGGCTGTCACAGGGAATGACAAGTCAGGATGACATCTATCCTGGAGGGTCTGAGGTTCTTGAAAATCAGGAAGAATTCACAAGAAATCGAAATTCTGCAATTCAAATCCAAACTTAACAATTGATCTAAGAAGAATTTCTTGGCAGACTCAAGTCAGAATCCAAGGAGAGTAAACCCCAGACCATTTTAGGGCCATATAAGCAGAATTATTTCCTCTAGTCTCTTCCTTTTCTGGCTCCTATTTTTGGAAACAGTTTTTTTTTTAAACCATGGAATTCACTAAAGTATTTGTGTCTATTTACAACCTCAGATAAATGTATGAAGAATAAAAGCTGACAAGAAAAAAAATCACTTCCTCGGGCTTAATGTGCTCTGCTGTTGAAAAATAACTGTTAATCACGCAGAAACATTTTTGTTTGACCAAGTTGCAAAACACCATATTAAATCTGCAATTAACTTTCCTCTAAATTAATTTTTTAATGGCTTCCTCGTTGCTGGGTTTCATAATCTCACTTATGGTCAGGCCCAAGAATGATGGTCTTTATTAAGGTTTTGACAGGAACGAAAGGCAACCTTTGATTGGAAGGAGCTGCATCTTACTGCTTAGAGCAATTACAAATGATGACCCAGTTTTTGTGATAGCTCAGCCCCCATTAATTTGCTGGGGTTGAGACAAGGAGTTTGATATACATGAAAGCTACACGGCTAACAGAAGTCTCCCTAAAGAACAGGATCTTGCTCTTTTAACCTAGAAAGACGGTCTGGTTCAATTAACCCTCAGCGGTCTCTGCTGTCTCTGGGCTAATGACCTTCCTCTGTGCACAACCCAACGGGTTCTGCTGGATCTTAAGTTCCCCCCTATTTCAGATTTTAAGAAAACAGGTGACACTCTTTAGAAGGAGGTGAGGACATCGTATTGTTTCAGCTGAGTCTCTGCTCGTGAGGCAGGGTTCACATCAAAGCTAGCGAAGGAGAAGGAAATAGGTTGGATCCACGTTGCTGTATTGTTTGGGCTTAATTGTATTAATTAAGTGAGCTTAATTAAGTTAATTGTATTAATGGAACTGAGTTTGTGACCCACAAGGAGCCAGACTTTTGAAGTCATTATGTCCTGGGTGAGAGGGGAGGGTTCCTGGATGCCAGGGACAGCTCTGTCTCCAGGGAATGGCCCTTGAATGCTCATGGGAGGGACAGGAATAATATTTCTCAATGATTACTCCATGAAAGAAAATGAGCAGAGGCACAGCAGAGCTACCCAAGTGACAGAATTGTTCAAACAACAATGCCACCAACCATTAACAGCAAGAACCAACAAGCCCTTTGGCTATTTATTCACAAACTCATAAATATTTGAATCACCTAAAGGAAAATAAAATGAAAAAGAGCTGAAGACTTTTAGAGTGTATAATACTATGTTGGCTATTCAGTAAATGGAACCTCTTTTTGATGCTCTGGTTATTGAATAGTTAAATTATGGTTAATGGAGGGAAGGTATAAAGGGTCATAATAATCTAAAAATTTTAAAAAATCACTACTTAAATTGTTTGATCGTTTTTCAAAAGACAATTGAAGACACACACACACACATACACAAAAGAATTCAATTATGCAATGTGTTGTTCGGCGCTTCTGATCTGCATACTATCAAAACCAGCTCTGAAATAATCCATTCAGAAGTTTCAGCCCCCCTGAAATGGTACAGCAAACTATAGGGCCTGCCTTTCTGAATCCTGCTTTTATGCTCATTGCTCAAACATCCTGCGAGTTCATCTTTGGTATTGGATCTTTCTTCCTGGGCTGTCTCAAGGGACATAACAATTTGCATACAGAGCTGGCCAGTCTTGGTTGGTGAATTCTAAGAGATCTGTGCAGAAACTCCATGAATAAAACAGCTTCGGAAAGACCTCTGTGTGACCCGGGAGGTGGTGGCCAGGGGTGTGCTCATGTGTATTTAATTTTGCTAACTCCACTCAGTGTACCTCTGAGTTACTTTGAGTGGCCTTGGTTAATGTGTCCCCCCCCCCCGCCCCCCATGGCCACCTCTGCAGCTGCTGCCAACATCATCCGAGCACAGCGGACTGCGCAGGGTTGAGAGATGTTGTCAGTGCTGACCCACGGAGCAGGGAGCTGCTGGAACCCAGAATTCACCAACTCAGAGCGGGAACTTGGTGCTTATCTATGCAGATAGGAAGAATCTCTGCGGAACTTCTGGCATTTGGGGAATCATAACACATATGTGAAAACCTGGAGAGAATTTTTACACACTTTCTTTTAGCATTACCACTAAAACTATGGAGAGGGGACTTTATTTTAGAGTAGGAATTAGATAGAAAGATAACTATATCAACCCACTTTTCTGAATAATAACAACAATACTAGCAGACTTTTACCAAGCCCCTAATAGATATCAGACTCTATGAAGGGTCTTCAACCTAACGATTCCTTTTTTGTGGGGGCTGCATGTGCACTGTGGGGCATTGAGCAGGATCCTTGGTTTGTCCCCACTAGGTACCAATTATACTTTCCCTCACCCCGAGCTGTGACAACCCAAGCTGTCTCCAGACATTGCCAAATGTCCCATGGGGTATAAAATTACCCCCAGTTGAGGGCTTAGTTCTATGCTCAGCATTTTCCATGAAACATCTTTTTTTATTTCCTAATGAACCTTTAAATGTAGGTATTCCACAAATAAGTAAAGAACAGAGATAATCACTTTAGCTCCAACAAAAGCAAAAAGGAAAAAATTAATCCAAATAAACCTTGTCCTGGGCAATGCAGCCTAGATACTGTGGGTTGGAACTGACTCCAGTTTTAAACTACGGCAATCATGATGTTTTCTTGTACTCTCTCAGCAAGAGTGTTGGTGAGGAGTGCAAAAAAAGCCCCAGGCAAATGGAGAGCAGAAATCATGAAAGCAACTTTGTTCTCATCCTGGCCATATGCATAAGGTTTCCTTAACCTCTCCGAGGACACAAAGTCAACATATACTCGTTTCTCCATTACACACTGAGGCACGTGTCAGTCTCAGACACCACCACCTAGTGGCTTGCATTGAAATTACAAGAAAAGTCATAACTCAGAAGAGCTGCTATTTCAACTTTAATACTGAAGATCTTTAAAATCTGGATCCTTATTTCACTACAACGAAGACACTATTGACTACAAACATATCCTTGCATTTTTGAATAAATAAGAAAGAAACCCGGGCTGGTAATTAAATCACAGCATTCCACCGTGTGTTGGGCCCATGCTAACTGCAAAGGTGTTGAATCATGATAGAGACCTACATCTCAGGATTGACACATGAACTGATTGAAAGAATCATGACTAATGAATGGTGAAGTACACTCTCATTCCAAACCAATCATTGATTTTTATTTTCAGCTTCATTTTAAGTAAAACAAAACAAAACAAGCAAAAAAACAAGCTAACCAACCAGCCAAACAAAAAAATCCTTTATATAGGAACAGGAATAAGTTTTAAAATTCTGTCCTGAACTGTTTTTTTAAAATGAGAATACAGAGCCTTCAAATTTATCAGGCTGAATCAAAAAGCCGATGGTGATGTTTGTTTTAAAATTTTATGGGTAGCTGGGTACAGTGGTGTATGCCTGTAATCCCAGTGGCTTGGGAGGCTGAGGCAGGAGGATTGAGAGTTCAAGCCAGCCTCAGCAACAGTGAGGCACTAAGCAACTTAGTGAGACCCTGTCTCTAAATAAAATACAAAATAGGGCTGGGGTCGAGTGCCTCTGGGTTTAATCCCCAGTACCAAAACAATAAAAACTAAAACTGAACATGAATTTTCAGTAATGGTGGTGGGGAGCCCCTTGAAGTCTTCAGTGATAATGTTTTTTTTTTTTTTAACAAAAACAAATAAACAAAACCCAACCCAGCTGATTCCCTTCAACACTTCAAGATTTCTAAAAAGACATTGAAACAAAACATTCCACTTCAAATCTCAAAACACCAAATTTTGAGGAGAGACTATTAAGAGTAACATGGCTATAGGAGTCTCCCATCCCAATACTCTGTCTGCCTTTTTATCATCCAGTATTTTTGACACCATGAAAAATTGCACTAATTATTCTTGCTACCTTGAAGACAGAAGACTGAAACATAGCTACTAGCAAAAGAGTAGGAAGACCAGATATAAAATCTCCTAAATATCCTTGCCAATGGGCCGTAATTACTCTTGCCTAACAGTCTTGCCTTGGGGACGCTGCTGTTTCCTGCTGATCTCTAGGGAGCCAACAATCTCTGATCACGTGTGGATGAGTTTCAGGCACACTTCTAAATTGCACAAAGCTCACCTTCCCAGGCTGCACCCTGTCTGCCCAGCTTTTATAACGCATTTCTACAAATCAAATCAGGACATTATCAAGCTGGCCACAGACCATTACATAACTGGGTTTGCTTGCCTCTCCTTTAAAGGTGGCAATTGGTTTGAACAATCAGTGTGGTTTGTTTGGGAAGGCATTCTGATAATCCCATTACCTTATGTTTACAAAAATTAAAAAAAAAATTTAAAAAGCCAGGTGCGGTGGCACATGCCTGTCATCCCAGCAGCTCAGGAGGCTGAGAAAGGAGGATCCTGAGTTCCAAGCCAGCCTCGGCAAAAGCAAGGTGCTAAGCAACTCAGTGAGACCCTCCTGTCTCTAACTAAAATACAAAATAGGGCTGGGGATGGGGCTCAGTGGTCCATGCTCCTGAGTTCAATGCCCAGTACCCATTCCCCAAACCCCCCAGAGTTAAACTTAATCATCCCAATTTTGTAGGCTTCCCCCATAAGATCATGGGATACTGAGTAAACTCCCTGTGTTTACCAATAAGGAACAAGAGAGTCTTTTAATCATCTCTTTAGTGAGTAAACTGGCCTTTAAAATGAGCATCGTTTATGTGCTCTGAGCTGAATATTCAGGGAGAAATGTAGAATAGATAAATAGAGGCCAAGGGACATTAAGAAGAGCAAGAGTGTACAAGAAGCCAAGCTAATTAGTGTGGCATCTTAATCACGCTGGCTGCAGGCTTCAGATGAACCAGAGTTCCCCAAATAAGGAGGACGGGCAGTTAGCAGATGACAGTGGTCATTAGAAACCATGAGAAGGCGAGCAGTAGGACACAGTGCTTGAATGGATTCCTTAAGGAACCATCTCTACCTGGGCACAGACTCTTTGTTGAATTAAAAACAGACAGCAGCTCCATGTTTCCTGATGATGAAGGGCTTGGGAGGGATGAGGTTACTGTGCTGGGATGGTGTCCTGTATGTCACACTTCTGTGATACGAAATGTGTCTGGGGGTAGGGAGAACAAGGCTTCCAGCAGCTCTAGACATTTAAGAAAAATCTGGGCTGGGTGCTGTGGTGCACACCTGTCATCCCAGCAGCTCAGGAGGCTGAGGCAGGAGGATCTCAAGTTCAAAGCCTGCCTCAGCAAC